TCTTGATGTAATTTTATACGTGTTGGTCTTCAGGGTTGTTGTTCCTAGCCGCGCAGCCCTGACGGTGGAGGCACTGTGCCTCTTCGAAACGTTAACACGCTGCTCAAATAATCCAGAAGACCATTATCTATATTGAAATCGCAGTAGAATCCTCAAATGATGATTCATCCTGTAGAAAGACTGCTTTGTTCACACGTCATTTAAACTACTGGGCACAGAAAGGAATTCTTTAGCCTGAGATTTTATTTGTCGTGATACGTTGTGACCAAATGGTGATATGCAGTCTAAGTAACAGCATGCGGGAGGAATTAATTTGTTGTTGATGTGAAAAGTTCGTGTGTGGCCTACTTTTGAAATAAACTGTAAGGTTTAAGACATATTTTGACAGCCTGACTTGATTTTGTAGCTCTCGTCATATTTTGCGTAGACAAGTGAAGTTCAGGTAACGTGGTATATTACAATGCATTCGCTGTCGCATTCGTCTGCTCGTGAGGATATTCCACTGGTCGTTCGTGGCCGTAGCAGAGCTAACAGTGATGTTGGTGCCTACGGCCTTAGACACTCAAAACATCGGAGATTTGTTTCATCACCGCTGCTTCGTGCAGTGTCAGAGGTGGGTCAGCATTGATTACCAAGTAACTTTGACCTAGAATAATTGTTTCTTCTTGCTGTATTTAATTTTATATATGAGAAACTAAATAATAACAATAATAATAGGATCTTCATACATCATTCGAAAGACGCGGTCATGAAATACATAGTCATCTCTAACAATAAAACTATATAATACATGTAGCACACATTAGAAACAAAATGTATTTCGGAAATAGCTGCTGCACAATGCACCTCAGGGGCAAGGTTTGTCTCAGGTACACAGAAGTAAATACCCTATAAATTGGTGAATAGATGGAATAATAATAATAATCTACGAAGCAGTTATTCTTGTGATCCTGGTAGGCATAGTCGCTTCGATACTTAAAAAACTAGTTCCTTTTGGGAGCCCGACGTTTCGCTGCTGTGTTCTTTAATTGAGCAGAATATAAAAACACATTAGTACGGAGGACGTTAATACACAAGAAAATTGCAACTAAATATATTAGCATATTTGTAATAATAATTTAAATCAATTAAGTAAATTATACTATTATAGAATGTGAAGAAGTGTGACAAATTTCGTCTCGAATATGTCCAATAATAATAATAATAATAATAATTTGAAATTGGTCACGAAGTATATTTGCGTTTCATGATGTCTCAAAACCTGGTCATCGTACAAGTTGCTGTCTGAAGTGTGTCGTCCTTATGGCTTACCATTATTGTATGTAATGTTGTCAGGTCAATTGGCATTTCTCACACAGGTTAGAAACTTCTCGACGTCGACTGTCTGAAAGGTCATTTGCCAAACCTTGTAGAACCTTCACGAGCGTCCTTACTGTGTCAGAAATTAAAATTCAGCGGTGTTTCGCTCAGACTTGGTTTTCTTTTGTCCAGTTTTGCTAACAGCGTTATTTCGTTTATGACGTATTTTTTAAACTTGTTAACATTTAAAATGGAGTGGTTTTCACCCAAAAGATAAACACTTCCTGAGAGCAGGACTTCTTTCAGGGACGTAACACAGAGGGATTAATGTACAGAACTCGTTGGCTGGTAATTGGACTTTTGTGGTTTATGAATTTTCCGTTGGTCAGCATTATTTGACAGCCAAATCTTTGTTCCGACAACTAAAATTGTCCCTGCTAGCTAACCTTCGCATTTCGATTGATAGTAAACGAAACAAATGTGTCGTAACTGGAGCAAATAAAATGTTTTGTCGTCTACATTCTGTACTCTATAACAGTGGTATTCAACCTGGGGTACGCGAAGACATCTTAAGGGGTACGTGAAATTTAAAAAAAAAATATTATTTTATGATAAACACTGAATAATCAGTAATTTAATTTTTAATTTATTTTGGATGTAGATTATATACTATGTATAACTTGAATTATACACCAACAACTTTGGGGGTACAAAGTTGAAGAGAAATTATATCTTGGGGTACGCGAACAAAAAAAGGTTGAATACCACTGCTCTATAGTGTTAACTCGGTGAAGTTGCCATAGGTAGGAGTCAGATGCACGTATTCAGCGTTCGGAAGTCTAGCTGAAAATGCAATAACATGATAAACACGAAGCTATGAAAGTTTAATTTAACGTGGACTTTCACTTTTCAACACGTCTACAGGTTTTGTAAACAACTAAACTATGTTGACTTTTCGACATGCAATATTGTCCTTGCTTTTCAATGCATTCAGTCAACCTTTCGGTTTCCAGCAACGAAAAACTCATGACTGTCTGCGCAACTATGATTTCAGAGCTTCTATGACCTCCTCATTGGTGTTGAATAGCCGATCTCCCAAGTACTTTGGTCCAAACGGATGATGTAGAGATAAATCTGGAGTGTAAGGAGAGTGTGGTAGCGCCTTCCACCCAGTTCACCAAAAACTTCGGCCGTCGCATTTGCATTATCGTGGAGGATAACGACTCCTTTGAATAACCTTCCGCTCTTTTAGTTCTTTTGGCAGGCCTGAGTCTGTGTTTGGTTAGATCACGCTAATCGCGTCTAACAAAAAGCAAACAGGCAGGACCTTGGTTCACTGCAGTGGCGTCTCACTCTGCATGTGGCATATTCGATGCAGGTTCAAAGGCCGTCTTTGAGCGACTGAAGCTATTAGAACACAGAAAAAGACGAAAGGCCCTGATGATGGAGGCAGCAAGTACCTCTGAAACGTTAGTAAACTTCTACCAGGCTACACGGCCCGACAACCCAGAAGGCAGCCATCTTCTCTGAACAGCAGTTTATGCGTAAAGAGCGTTTTGTGAATCTTTTCGACGCCAGTTACAGCAGACCGGTGTTCAGTGAATAATATCCATTTATAAATGTTTTCTTACGTAATTTGGTTTAAGAGTAACGACACTGAATGAAAACTTACAAGTCTTAGGCGTGTACAGAATGATGTATGGTACTAATAAATACGTATTTTTAAATACTACAAAAACTTAAAAATTCTCCCTATTGCACAGCTTTGTCTTACTTCAGAAGCTAATAGTTTCTCTCAGTAGTGCTATTGTTTATTTTTTACTAAATTCATAAAATGAAGCAACATTTTTTTTATCGGGTACTGGCTGTGCCCCCAGCTTCAGATAAAAACTTATTCTGTTATGTCCACTAGAATTCGATACTCCCAATGCTCAGATAGATTTCATACCTTTTATGGAACCCGCAGGTCCATTTCTGTGTTTATAAGAACATGAACTACGCACTATGATTATTTTTGTTGTTGTTAATATATGTATAGTAATACACGAAGCTGCCACGTGTAAGCTTTATCTGTTTATTTATTTTGTGCGTACCATATTTTGAGATTTGGGAACAACGTTCTTGCGTGACATCTTGCATTCCTTGTATTTATCATCAGCGAGTCACTGCCGTGTTTCCTGGTGTGCTGTCATGAACATTTCGGGTTTACGTGGTTGATACATTTTTCGAAGTGGATGTACTTGGATGATGAACACAGCGAGATAAACTGATACATATTCTTGAACATTTTATTCTGACACTTTCTCCGCTAAAACCACAACGCTTCGAAAGATTGCACTGTTTTCGTCATCAGATAAATTATAAGACCTAATCAGTTGGATCCATTGGAAGAAGCTACTTGCAGACTCCGGACAAAGTAGAGGAAAAACCCAACCACTTTCGGAACGTTTTTTATTTTTTAGACTTATCAGAAAGACACGTTTTGATACTTTTGTTGGAACACGATTAATTTAAAAAAAATCGGTTTATTTCGTCGGTATAATGTTACTTTGTGTTGTCAGTTCGTAAGATGGGGTGATTGTAAAGATTATAGAAGTATGAAGATTTCCGTCTTCTGGGTTGTTGCGCTGTG